AAGTTCTCTGGGTCTTGCTCGAACTTTGAGCCAGGAACACCGTCGTTTTGATTTAAAATACGAGCTTTAGAGACGTTTGAACTAGAGATGGGCGCATCATCGCCCATATTCCTTTACTAGAGATGCTTGTTTGTTTGTCCTAATCGCTCTGGGGGGTCAAAATTTCGTGACGTCACCAACGCGCAGCGCCATTGTATTATTCCTTTAACTGCCGATTTCCCTTATGTAATTCCTGTTTAATTGACCGCTCCCAGCCTAAATTTAGTTTAAAGTTATTTTTACCTTTTCCTGTATTTTACTATAAGTTACAACCGTTTGCTCGGTGAGTTCAGTTGATTCGTTGCCTTCCTGAGAGTGCCCTTTAAGCGGATTCTAAGTTTTACTAGCTTTTGGTATGTTTCAGTATTTTATGTTTGTTTTAGCCCTAAGCTTAGCATGTAGTTGTTTCCATTTGTATTTTTGTAGTGATTTTTCGGGTTAGAATTTGCTTAGTTAAGCCACATACTCCTTTTATCTTACTACAGCATGTAATTTCTCTGCTATATAAAATTCAAATGAGTAAAGGTTGATAGTTTCGAAAGAAACTGTTTGGGGCTGCGTCGGTGGGAGTAACGAAATAATTTGGATATATCAACAAAGTTGAAATGGTAAATTAGCCACCGTAATGATTACAAAAGCTGACGTTTTGAGCGTTAGCCCTTCGTCGTTAACTCATAAATTTCATTAGGGTATTCTCCCTTTTTTTTGTATCATTTTAATTACTCGCTGACTCATTTTTTACTTACGAAGAAAAACTTCATCGAAACGGTCAACTACTCATGTTGGAGAAACACATTTTGTTACCCTTAAAAGTTTGAGCTTGTCTATCTGAAGACGCATGTGGATGAAGTTTTTCAAACAGGAAAAAGGGTGGCATTTTTAACCTTCGCTTTCTTTAAGATAACGACCCACACATGCACCTTTGTTATGTTAATATACAACTTCTTAATTCCTTTTTTCAAACAAAAACTCAAAAGTTGAAATTGTTATGACTTATGTATTTAAGAGATCTTAAAAGATTAATCTCCATCAATCTGATAGACACTGCCCTTCATGGGTTTACCGCTGGGCTGCTTTGTAGTAAGTAAGCGTGGCAGGGGGCCGCTTCATTAAATGTTCTCAAATTATCTCCAAGTGATCATGTCTGAAATAAAAGCCATATCTTAAATACCTCCAATAACGGAAAGTTTGAGCCAAAAACTGTGTTGTCCAACATTTGTGCCAAAGAGCGATTACAGCGACCAGTCAGGTGATGTTTGATTCTTTCAGGAGGCTGGCTTTGATGAAAAAGAAAATTAAACAGATATTATCAGCCGATATTTGAATTTGCCGTTTGTCTTGTATTGGTGATTTGTTTTATGCTCTCTTTAGTGTTATTTGTGTTTATTTTCTCTCATGTGCACCACAAATAGGTTGAAGCAGTCGTTTCTGATAAAGATGGCAAGAAGATCTGTTTTTCAAGCTCTGCTGCTGTCGTTTTTACTGGGTAAGTTCGCTTTAAAGTTCCAGATGTGAGGTACACACGCACGCAACTAAACTGAAATTGTGTAATCATCTAAACGGCAAACAACGAAACAGGAATACCTCGAAACTCCATCAAATGCTCGTAAAAGGAAGCTTACAACCCTTTTAACACTCTTGGCTGTAGCAAATCTGGTACAAAAAATATTTTTGCTTTTTAATAAAGCAAATGCGATAAAGTTAATTTTCAAGGGAAGTAAAAACCGTGCCAAGCTCTCTCCTTTCAAAATGAAAAGAGTGGAGATGTTACAAAAAAGACGAAGCACTGTTATAATTACCGTACCGTTATAAATTCATTTAACGAGAATTCTGATTTTAAATTCTACCTTATACAAAACCAAATGAAAGGGAACAGCTTTACCGTTGTGAATGTACTGGATTACTCGTATGCATAAGTTTAAAATTCCAGGGGTTATCTGTTGCATGTTATTATTAATTCCTAAATTTGATTTATTATTTTATAGTCTACTGTTAACAATGATCACCTGTTCATGATAGAGTTATGAGAAAATAAGCATGAAAAGAATGAAATTTTACTCTCCCAATCATGACTTAAAGACAACTTAAAATGCTTTCTGTTTTCTTTCCTGTCGGGATTATGTTAAAATCTCTTTGATTTACAAACATTCAAAAGGAAAAAAAAAAAAACTCTGAATCTGCTCACAACAAAAGACAACTCCTGCTGTTAGTGGAGGGGCTTCTTCAAGTAAACTGCGAGACGGACTGACAATAACATAATCACATAACTTATATTTGTGAATCCTTGTCTAGCGTTCGAGCATCAAGGTTAGCTGGCTCTAGGGTTACCAACGTTAAGATTTTGAAAACTGTGCTTGAAAAAGGAATCAGTGAATAAACCAATAGGAATGAGCCTCCATTTAAGCTTTTGGTTCTTGAGATGTCCTTGATTTTTTTTAACGAATCAACCAAAAACGCTGTATATACTTTTATTCTTAAAATTCTCAATTGCTATCCTACTCAAGTAGTTGATGCTCTCTCTGTTTGTCATTGGGACCGTTAGAAATTGCAAAGCACTGTCTGGAGTAAACACAATGGATGAAAAAGTAAACGCGTCATGATTCTGTATATGTCAAATTGATGATGGCGTGGGTTTCAATGTTTACCCCCTCCCGAAGTTCAAGTTCACCGTTACACTAGAATGGCCTTGAAAAGCTTTTTTCAAGCGCTGATCTTAATTAGAGGTGGCAATTATGAAAAAATAAAAAAAAAAATCTCTCTCTTTCGTTGCAGAACATGTTAGCTGCCTGAAGTGCTTCTCAAACTACCCTCCATATTTCGCCGGTGATTTCATGGAAGCCCAGGACTGCCCGGGAGCCACTATAAGAAATTCAACCCTTAGCGACCAGAGGCTGGTTTGCTGTATCTTTGATACTGCACTTGCCCCATCAGTCCCAGAAAATATCAATGTGTCTTTGGAAACGTATCTTAACATGGTGGGAGACACCGCAAGGACGAGAGCATTGTTTCCGTTTTACATGGAAGCGTTGGATATTGCTGGGATAACGAGTAAACATGAAATAGCAGCCTTTACTGCTCAAGTATGTCACTGTAGTTAGTAGTATGAGTATGTTAAATGCCAACAATTAAAACAATAAATAATTGTTTTCTTCGGGTTCAAAAAATTGAAAACATGAGTTCCAAATTCCAAGTTCCAAATTCCACATTGACTAAATCCTGGAAGAAATTTATTGCTGTCGATGTCCACAATATAGGATGTCTCCTGCTTTGTGTGTCAAATGGCATGCGAGATCTCAGTGAAAGAGCACGTAACCAGTATAGTGGAGCAAGGTAGTTAAATGAAAAGTTTGAATGAGCATCTCCATATAAATTATGTTTGGTTACCCAATTTTTGCTGACGTGGACTTGACGCATTTCTTATTCTTTATCTTTTCTAGATCTTGCATCAAACATCAGGAATGTTATATTCAGAAGAAAATTCCGATGGAAAGAAGTATAGAGGAAAGGAAAGCTTGGGAAATACCCAAGCATCTGATGCCCGCAAATACATAAGTCGAGGATTCCTTCCTCTAATTGGAAAATACATGTACCAACTTTTGAAAACTTCACTCGATATAGAAATCACACGTAAGTCTGACAAAAATGCTTTGAAGTGAATGAATCCACTTCTTGAAATCAGTAAGCTATATTCGGTCTTGTGAGCCTAATTTTCGGGTTATAATATTTCCTTTGCAATAAATGGTTTGAACCCGGTGGTAACATGTGAAGGTGTAGTCTGATCGTCCGGGTGAGTGTAGTCCTGAGAAGGACTGTTGTCGGTGGTAGTGACTGACGTTTCGACAACCTGTGCGGAAGTCATCGTCTGATGATGACTTCCGCACAGGTTGTCGAAACGTCAGTCACTACCACCGACAACAGTCCTTCTCAGGACTACACTCACCCGGACGATCAGACTACACCTTTAAATATTTCCTTTATTTCTCTACAGAACAGCCGGAAATGGTTGCGTTGCCTTCTGTAGGATTTAAGGTTGCGGCATGGATTTGGTTGAATGGCTATGGCTCTGCTGATAACAGCAGCTCGCCCACCGGAAATTTAAGAAAATTCTGGAATGGAACCGAATACAGCTTTGCAGAGTTATCCATGAAAATTCAGCAAAATAACAATAGGATGGAAAATCTATTCTCATTCTGGAGGCATGTACTCAAGGTAAGATTAAGATTAAATGTGTACTGTTATGTTCTGTTTGGTCGTATTTCTGCAACAACACCCTTTTTCACTGCTCTCCTCCCATTTATAGGTACTTGGTATTCCATGTCCGCCGGAAGGGAGCGGACCAAGATGTTCACTAGACAATAGAAATGGCCGGTGCAAATTAGTAAAAAGCTGTAAGGGTGAATATTCTGCAAGTGGTTGTCTTACACCGTCGCCTATCACGTGTTGTCTGGGTAATTATGATTTACATAGTTTTGTAGCAACATTGATAATATGAAGTGATATACCTCTCGTACATCGAGAATGTGCTTCAGTGTAGTGCCATCTTGCACGTTTTTAGGCCCTCACTACGCAACACCGTTTTATTTTTGAGGGAAAATACAACTGAAAGCTACTAGAGAGGAAAAGATGTAATTAGGTGTACAGCAATGACGCTATTTTCCCATTCGGCCTTAGGTAATTTGTTAATCAAGTTTCATTGAGTTCAAGAGACCTCTACCTACAAAATGGTCCCTTTGAACTAGGATATATGCATCAGTTTTAGTTTTAGACCCTGTTCCTTAGTGCAACTGTACTTGACTGAGCTTGCTCATCCCTTTGAACTAGGATATATGCATTTTTGTTTATGACCCTGATCCTTAGTGCGGCTGTCTCGACTGAGCTTGCTTTGAAGTACTTGTAAATTTTACAAACAGACAGGAAGGAAGCACGTAATTTAAAAAATAACCTCTCCAATCCTGAAAATTTTTCTTCTTATCTTTTAGATTGTCAAAATCCGATCGATTTGGTATTTGTATTGGATTCTTCTACTAGCGTCCAGCCTACAAATTTTCAAATTGGACTCCAGTTCATCATAAAGGTCTGTCAGTATTTCGACATCTCTTATCCTCTTGGCACCCGAGTGGCTGTTATCACATACAACCAATTACCAAACATAACATTTCACTTAAACACCTTCATCAGAAAGCAAGACGTCTTAAATGCAATAGCAGCAATACAATACCAGAGTGGTGGCACACGCACTGACTTAGCGCTCTCAGAAGCCTACACTAACCTGTTTGAAAACCCCGAGAATGGTGTGAGACCCAAAGAATTGGGTGTGCCAAGAGTCCTCGTTCTTCTCACTGACGGGAAAACTTCCTCGGGGACTGACAGCATAATCCGGCCCTCTAACTTGCTCCGAGAGGAAGGAGTTAACATCTTTGTGATAGGGATTGGCCAAAACATAAACAAGAATGAGTTGGACATTATTGCCAGTGATCCAGACTCTGATCATGTTGTTCTTCCCGAGTCATTTGACGAGATTAACACTTTGGTAGAAAACATTCAAGAAGCTTCGTGTTATGGTAATTAATTTTCATTTACTTTGTAATATCATCTAGTATGTTGAGTGACATGCAAAGTGCAGCATGCAGCTGTTTCAAGAAAGGTTGCGGGAAGAAAGCATAAAAGTGTATACTCGATAGCCCCGAAAGCTATCATGGGTAGTTTTCAGGTCACGGTACCTTGACCCCAGGATTTCAGGGAAATTTAGGAAATCGTCATGGTAAGGAGGAGGTATTCTGGGTGTGATGAGTTCATTGATTTATTTGACTTATTAAGATTCATTGATTACCGGATACCCAGATAACCTTTCCAGGTTGCACTTTTGTCCTCATTTCCGACAACTATTCTCGAAGCAGCTGTTCTATCGTGAGCTGTGTTGTTCTATTACGTTCAGTCTAAATGTACTTGAAGCATGCTGTGCTTCATGCATTCCACGTGTTTCCTGTTTCGCGCACTTTGTTGCGATTTGTTATTTTCTATGGCTTGTTTCACATTTTCATTTTTTACGATATATAAAACTGGTGATGAAATACAATGCAATCTAAAATAGATATCCCCTGAACATTCACACCGATTTCATATCTCAGTTTTATGTACTCTTTGATATTCACCTCTGAATTTGGTACTTAGTAGTAATAACAAGGTCAAAGACCTCGAATGGGTACAGTGGCAACCCGATGGCAGGTCACAAGTATTTCTCATTCCCAAATATTTAATTTTTTTTCCTTGCATGATCAGAGCCCGCATTGCTCGAGGAAGGAAGAGAAATTGGGTCAAGTGTCAACGAAAATGCAGTAAGATATTTCAAATATGACTTATTCAACAAGACGAGAATAAAAACCGTATTTTTACAGACAACACTTGGTCAAGCCGATATTGCAGTTTCAACAAGCAACAGGAATCCACGAAACAATCGCATTAACCTTGGATCGTGTGAACCGCATGAACAAAACAAACTTTCCGCTGGAAGTAGCTTCTGGGAATTAGAAGAGCTTCAAAATGACACTTTTTGTAATGCTACCTCCGACGGAGGCTGTACCAAGCCTCGTTTTGTTTCAAAGGATGAGTTCATTGAAGAAGGAATGGTCATTTATGTGAAGATGTGCTCCAGCAGATGGTTTTATGTTTCATTAGAAGGAATCAACACGAACAATGAGTTTAATTTGACGCTGTTTGAGGATCTTATTAGAACAAACAAAAGATTGGTAAGTCACTTTTGGTTTCTACTTTCAAATTTCAGCCACCTCTTGGCATTATTACCTTAAAACTTATAAACATTGAAACCTATGAAGGCCATGTCAAGCCTTTGAGTAATTTAGCTATTGCCATGCGTGATCACACTCTCACCAACTGAAGTATTGTTTACGTGTGTGCGTTTCTCCGCCTGTTTTCCTGACTTTTTTCTTTTTTTTTTTTCATTTGATTCTTCTAATCAGAATAACACAGTAGACACTCCAAGAAGTGATACTACTTTCCCCATTCCCAAGAGGGTCTACGCTGGAGCAGTTGCAGCAACCATAGGAACAGCAGCGACGGTTGCTGCTGTTGTCACATTGTCGTAAGTATCGCCGGATCTATTCAGTTTCCTTATGGAACGTTACCGTTGAGTAAAGTGTCTCTTCCAAGAATTCAAACTAATAATCCAGCTAAAGCTCGATCGTCCCCCTTTAGATTCGGAATCCAAATTAGCCTCTTGAAAGGGTACTCCCGATTGAAAATGAAGATGATTCTAGATGATTTTAGAGTCATGTCAAAATACACTGAGAAAGGGATACTTCTCTTTGCAGTTGCGCTAAGGAATTTGAAGTCAAAAGTTCAGCAAAAATTAAAAAGAAAAAGAGGAAAGAATGCGAGAGCACGACAGACAGCAACTGTAATTCAACCATTAATAAAGGGTTTCAAGAAGATGAAGAAATACAGCCAAGCAATAAAAATCGCGGTTCCAGTCTTACTCCTTTAAAGGAAAAAGACGGTCTACAAAGTAATTCCTGTAGAAAATCCTTAAAGAAAGAAACAGCTATTGAAGTAACAAAACCAGAGAATTTGAAACGCAGTAATTATCAAATTAAAGAGCAAGGAAAAAGCTGCGTTGTCGAAATGCGAGACGAACAGCTGATACAACAGGATTCGTCATGCGTAAACGAGGATCCGCGCATGCGTAAAGTCAGTCTGGTTTCTTCCATGATTTATGATTTACAAAGAGAAGACACATTTACAGGGAAAACAGTGACATCAACATTTCAGAGAAAGGGTGATTCCCAACGATGGAATGAATCGCGATTAGAAAGACAAGTTATAAGTACAAACGTTTCAGTGTCTGTGTTCCAATCAAAATGTCAAGAGAGAAAGGTACAAAATGACCAAGATAAGGTCAGAAAAATGGGTTTGGATACTATGAAACGAAACTGTGACTTGTTATTAACAGGCATAGGCGGTACAGGACAGGCCAAAGCCAAGGGAAAAGAGCTAGTTACAGAAAAACGGTTGAAAGACCAAAGTAAATATTCGGATAATGCCCTTAAAGTTGATACCAATGGACCTATCGCTGATGAAGGCTCAATACAACATTCCAAAAAGTCAAAACTTATTCAAGAAACGGACTCAGAGACAAGAACAACCTGTTGTTTTCAGTGGCAACCATCTATATCGCACAACAAAGTTAAGAAGACGTCCACTAAAGCTAAGGCCAAAGATCTTTCCGAATTAGAAAAAAACCAAAGACAAGAAACGGCAGAAGATGAAACTGAAGTACATGTACGGAACGGCGAGAAAGAGAAAGTCAGTCTCCTGGTCCGGTTAAAATCGAAACTTACTAAGCGTAAAATCTTAGCGGTTATGTGTCCTTGCTTTACTTATCTCATACTAAAAGGTGAAACTAAGGAAAAAGTAGCAGTCGACGGAAAGAGGCAAGATTATATTCATCGCCAAGAAATGAGGTAAAAAATATAATGTTGAATTTTCAAAAAGTTGATGATATGATAGGATTGATTCAATCATCAGTTTTATTCAGTCAAATGTCCTGTGCATGGGATCATTTTCAGATCCCACAACAGAGATTGCGTTGTTTACCGAAACAAAACTTTGCCGAATTTAAAAGGTATTACCCTGCGTATTCTCTCCTCTAGTTTTACTCCTTACTCATAGATTTTGACGAGCTTAATCAGTCAATTTAATAGCAAAGAGTGCTTTTTTTAGGTCAAAGTTTTTATTCTTTACTATTTCTACTTATACATATCGAGCGCTGTAACACGGAAAAATCAAAACGCAGACTTCCTACATACATATAATTATATATATGGCCTGATGAGGCCAAGAAGGCCGAAACAGTACTGTCTGCAGTTATATATATATATATATATATACATTAGTTGAAGAATCAAAGAAGACGCATCGATTCTCTGACGAGCGCTTCGGCGCGAAACTCAGAGTAACAGAGAATCGATGCGACCTCTTTGATTCTTCAACTAATGTATACCCAGCTCTGCTAACGCTGCATTGAGCACTTAATGCCAAGGTAGGCTCTACCCTCACATTTATATATATATATATATATATATATATATATATATTCATTAAAGAATGTCAAATAAAAAGTTCCTTTTTTTAAAGGAACGGTCGTTTTGAGCGGGATATGCAGATGAGTCAAACGTTTTGTGTGTTAATATCGCAACTTCTGTTTATGCTTGGAGCAGATGCAAAGGACTACAAGGTATGTTTTCGCTAAAGTAACCACATTGTCTCGTCGCAGTTTTCATTACATGAAGCATGTACAACCTTATTCGATAGTTTTAACATAGCATACGGGCTGTTATTTCGCGAGTTGCGTAGTATTTTTCTGAGTCCCACGTTGGTCGATAAAAGTGCCAGAAACGAGAGATGCAACAGAACATCCTTTTTAGAACTAGGACAGTGTCTTCAAAGATCACAGAGTTTTGCCCGCTCATTGACAAATCATTTTGATGCTTCAGGTTTTTTCCCCCGTCTTAAACAATTAGTTATTAGTCTAATGTTTTCAAAGGGTTGTCATTATTTTTTTCCAATTCACGGTTCTTTTGCAATACCTCGAAAGTGTAACTGACTTTAAATCATACTTTCTGTTTACAGATTGCTTGTGCAGTTGTAGCCATCACCATGAACTACCTTTCTCTTGTGACTCTTTGTTGGTTAATTGTTCAGGCTCTCTACCTGTTCAACTTCACAAGGGCACGTGAAAGCGGAGAAAAACAGTACATGAAAATTAAACTCTATTTCGCGGGAGCATGGGGTGAGTGAAATTTGCGTGGTAGATAGAGCAGTGAGATATGTATATGATAAGATGTGGTAAATCTGACACGACGAACTGCTGCTGGAAGCTACCCAAATTATTTTATTCTAGATGTTTCGAAATGCTAATGGTTGTTGTTGCTTTGGAGGTAATGACTGTTTTGATTTTGGTGGTGGTGCTAAAATCAAGAAAATATAGACACTGGTTTATCTTCTCCTAGAGGAAATGTATGTGGGTAGTCATGACGATGTTGGAGTGAAAGGTCCCAGCAACTGGAATTGTGGTATCGGCAGCTCGGTCAGTTGTGCATGTTGGAGTGAAAGGTCAGTCTTACCACTGAATTGCAGATGCGGTGTCGCTGTTTTCGTGAGATTGGAGTAAAAGGTATTTGCAATTGCAATTGCGGTGTTGGTCATCTTGGTTTTTGCAGTTTAAGTAGAGTGAAAGGTCTTGTCATTTGCTAATGTGGTGCCGATGTTGTCGGTGGCTACAGATATTGGTGGTAGCGCGTTAGTGGTGGGGATAGTTGTGGTTATAACTGCTGTTGATTGTAAGGGGTGTGGTTGTGGTAGGCTGTTCGTGCTGTAGCAGTGCCGTGTTGTAGAGGCGCTGTTGAGAATGGTTGTCGTATGTGGTTTTTGTTTTGTGGGGGGCTGTTGGAGCTGGTGCTACTGCAGCAACATATATTCAGACGATTTCAATGGGCCTTATTTCAACCGTTATCGTTAACTGCTGTTACAGTGCCGTGTTCTAAAGGTGATGTTTAACATGGTTGTCGCATGTGGTTTTTCTTGATGTGATTACGTAGTGGTAGTTCTTGGGGTTTAGGATGGCGTAGATCTTTCCCTTATTGTCAATTTATTTTAAAAGAAAATTGTTGTGACACAAATCTACTGCCAGAGGACCTTTTCCGGAAAACATATGCTTACGCTCAAGAACCTTCACTTTGTTTCAGGTTTACCACTATTTGCTGTATTTTTCCTTGTTTCGAAGTACGAGACATACCACAAGCATCCACAGTAAGTGACCAACCAATTGATTCAAGAGCTACTCATTCCGTGACCATAATCTTTGCTTTCTCCAGTAACGATTATGAGATTAATCCTCAAGCAACCTATACCATTTTTGATAGCGTTACGTTCCTCATGTTCTCTTTCTTTTAAAGTTGTTGGATTTCATTCGCTGATATTTCAAGCTGGTCAGTAGCGACGCCCATGATTACGTTGGGAATGGTTAGTATAGAACCTCATGAGGCAGCATTCAGGGATGTTTTATTTAATTCTTTTTGTTCTTCTTATATCTTGATTTTTATATAATTTCAAATGGTACCATTAAGAAATTGATAATTCCTAATTGTTGTCTTGATAACAACGGTATCATGCCTCTGCATTTCTTTGGGGGAATGGGGTGGGGGCAAAAGCAAAAGTCACTATATTGTATGTTATTATCAAACTACACTTAGACGAGTACAAATAACGCCATAGACGAGTACAAATATCACGCGGTATTTGTACTCGTCTATTGTAGAGTACCGGTTAAACAGGTTTTCTCGCATCGCGCAAGTGAAGAATTGGATTGTAGTTACGAAAAAAAAATAAGTGGCGGACAATTTGAATCATATTTCCTATGACGGAGAGTCAAAATCGCTGGCAAATATAGATCCAAGTTTATTAGATGAATCGAACGAAGAAAAACAGCTTGACGACCAGAAAAATTTCTTCACTTTATGAAAATAGAAACAGCAACACAACAACGCGCCAATTCCGTTCCGCTTCGCATACTTCTGTTACGCACTCCCCGTAAATAAATATCCGCGAAATTCTCCCGCTGAAACAACAATTTGGCGTGTTGGATGATAAATAACAAAAAAAAATTAGACGTTTTGTTGTGTAGTATCGCTGAGTATTTTTACTACGCGCTCGTCAAAATACGGCACAACTCGTAAAAATACTCAGCGATACTACACAACAAAACGTCTAATAAGATATATGTACTCTTCTCATATTGGAGGTCATCAGACAATTGACGTAATGATTCATGCATTTTGGGCCAACCTACTGATGGCGAATACCGATCTCTATGACGTAACTAACAATGTTGAGAGCGTATGGATAGAAAGTTAACTGTCGAATTACCTCAAGTTAATCTCCTGCATGTTAGTCGGCATAGTATATCTAAAGAATTAATATGGCAGATTCATAAAAAAGGTCTCATTTTAAGTTAATACCGACCATAGCAAATGGGACTGTGCAAGGAAAGAGAAAGAAATTCTTTTTCGCGAGCGTTTTGATGCAACTTTTGTGAAAATTGGACTATTCATTACGGCAAGATCCCTTAGCCACAGATAAGACTTGAATTGAATTGAAGCTTTGCTAAAGTTGGTTAATAAAGGATAATTAATTTAAATGGCTTTTCCATGCATGCTCTCTGATTTGAGCCAATAAACTCTCGATGAAAAAAATGATTATTGCAAAGGTAAAACTCGTAGAGGTGTTACTTTCCTTTTCAGGTACAAGTCATACTAATCATTTTATTGGCCAAGGCTTTAGTCACTTATCGTAAATCCGATTCGACCGTGGAAAATGAATACAAGAAAAGCATCATCAAGTAAGGTTTTTAGAAATATTTCACAAATCATTTCAATCTACTTTTGCTATTTCCTAGTGATACCTGACCAGTCGATGATTTTAACTTTTTGAAAAATTATCTTTGAACCTGCTTAGAGGAGGAAATTGCATCCAATTTAAATAGGTCGAAGTAATATCATTGCGACTAAAACTTGAAAGAACTTTAGAAAGTAGCTTTCACCTAAGCTTTATTCATTTATTTAACCCACTGTCGATGCAATACTGCACATATGACATCCTCAACAGGTCTGGAATTCAAACTGTGGTTTGCATAACAGTCTCAGTTGTTCTAACTTGGCTTCTGGGTTCATTGTCTTTGAACATCGATCGAGGTGTCTACCACACCTTTTTCTCCATATTCAACGCGATACAGGTGAGAGAAATGATCTTCCACGTAAAGTATTTGCCAATTTTTTTCTGTACGAAAATGGAATGTTTCATTCAAACACCTGAAACAATGTAATTCATATAGGCTTATTGATATGAATTAATTGTTGTGCAGTTGTCGTTTAATGTTTTAGTTCGATACGTCCATTAGGTTATTTCATTGCTGTATTTATTTTTATGAATGGTAAGCAGAACATGGCACAGTTAGTTTTTCATTTTGGGAGTTTCAAAACTGAAAGGAAAAAAATGCGACCTCTGGATACAAAAATTATGTAAAGGACACTTCCTATCTTTTCTATCAACAGGGTGTTGCTTTCTTCCTGTTTTATGTTCTCTTAAATGCAGAGGTTCGCCAACTCATTCTCTCTGCATGGGAATGGAAGAACTCTTCCGTAGTAACACCCTTTGATGATCATGAGGCCATTGAAATCGAAGAAGAAAAGGTATGTTGTGAACATGCAGTGCGACTGAGCAGTTAATTTAGAATGTTGAATTTAAAATCTGTTGGTTTCAGGTTAAATTCATTCACTCTTCCCCGGAACTGGGTTTTTTTTTTTCAACACAGGAAAAAGACAAAAAGAAAGGAAAAAACGAACCTGTGGGCAAAGAAAACAATGCAAAAGACGAAAAACAAACGAAACAGGAGAACAAACCGAATGAGATTGGCTTGACCACCATACAAAAGGTGCCCGAAGCAAAGAAGGCAGCATCTTCCCTGGCCACCAACACCAAGACCAACAACAAAGGAAATGCTTCTGGTGCCAAATCAGATGTTCAGGGAAAAATACGAAAATATGAGGACCTGACTTGTACCACCTCTGAGAATGGATCACCCAGGAAACTGCGCCCTATAGAGCCAAACAAGAAAACCACCTCTACGATAAAAGCGGCAGAACAAAAACGAAAGGTAACACCCCAAGCACCCTCGACAGTGAGAAGAGTAACTCCCGTTCCTTTTGAGCTGTGCTTCTTTTATGGTAACTCACCACACGATATAAGGGTCGGCTTTTCAGGACAGCTCTTCATTTGATTCACTAATTTCCATCAAAACTAAAACTATTAGAGAAGTCAAGGTTTCAAACCTGTCTGTTACGCTGTTTGCTCTTCCTGTCTCTCTCCTTATTGAGTATAAAGGCTACCGATGAACTGTTAGGAAAAACAGAGGCGATGCTTAGGGCGACTTTTGACGTTCTGTAAATAATCATGCTCTCATTGAATCCAACAGTATAGAAACCGGGGAAAGCTTCTGTGCTTTTGGCCACTCTACAGACCTGTAAACTTGAATTTTGGTCACCTTTATATAATAATCGTTTAGTGACCTTTTTATCCAGTATGGGGGTACAAACACTTTGATTCTCTCTGTTGTTTTCCTCTTAAAGAAATTCGTTGAAGATCCATTGCCTAAACAAAAGATTGCAGATGCTCCTACTTCACCAAATAATAAAAAGCCTCGTTTACCAGCACTAGGATCTCATCCATTGCGGACACCCGCACCTGCTGGGAATAAAAAATGGGGCAAAGTTTGAAATGAAAGATGATCTTCCCATTGCAGGTGAGGCCACATCCAAAGACTATGAAAATAGTAAACACCCTTCCTTCTTCAGTATTTCTACGAAAAATTAGCATAAAGTTTGTTTGCCATTAAGTTTTTTTCAGTAGAACTAGATTTTATCATGCTAATAAGAACATGAATGTTTACTTATTATGTTTTATACATTGATAAGGAAATATTCACGATACTAGGAGCTTAGATCATTTAGTTAGTGCCTGTTTATCTCTAGTCTTCCCTGCGATGGACTGGCATCCCATCCAGGGGGGAGTAGAAATACTCCTAGTCGCTTCATGCTACAGAAACCGGAGTTAAGCACCGGCCTAATGGGCCACTAGGCTCGTAAACAGACCTTTATCTCAAGTCTACGTTGGTTAATGACATCGTTGCGATGTTTTATTCGTTGTGGTGCCATCTTATTCTAGAAGCAAGCCGAGTGCAAGTGAAGACCAGATTATTTCAATTCTCTTTTTTTCCTGAGTTGTTCGAGTTTACATTAGGATGGGGAAATTACTATTTATTTGGTTTATCGCTTCTTCCGTTTTCATTTGAGTACTCTCTATAGGAAAAAAAATCTGGCTCTGAATCACATGCAATAGAATTCGTACACAATGCACAGACACCTTCACCCAATTTAGCAATAATCGTTTAAGTCATCCAGGCTATCGCCAGCCGAGAATATGATTTTAAAAATTCCTCCTTCTTTCCTTCATCAAAGACATTTTTCCACATTTAACTTCATGTTTATTTAGGTTATTGGTTTTCTTTTGTTACAATTTCTGCTCAATCAAATGGTGTCGGAAATTTGAAAAAGCTTTTTTCCCATGTTTGCAGACTATTATCACTTCTTTTAAAAACGTAATAGTATTAAAAAAAAAAAAGTTTTGAAGAGTTATGTCTCTTTCCTATTGATTGCCTTTCATTTGGCTATCGCTATCGAAAATTAAACGATCACTGTTTTTAATCACACTAGCTACAACTCTTTAATATCAATCATTTTACCTAAGAAGTGTAATAGTTGAGGTTGAAATAACTGAATAGTAAATGTAACTGCATGAAACTGTTGCATTGTTCTGAGGTTTGCTTTTTTTCTTTTCCTTTTGTATTCGTCCTGGTTCCTTCTTGTTTTGGAAACGAGGAGGTAACTCTATGCATGAAGCGTGTTGAGTACCATAGCATCTAAGTGATCTTATATGCATCTTATTAGCGCGTAATTTAAATTAACTTGGGTACGGCCGCGGGTGGTCTGCTGGAGTAAGTGACAGAATCAAAGCACGGGCTCCTTATCCTTTCAAGTCAAGAGACCCCCACTCCTTAGCCATCTAAAGGAAGCATCATTAATTACCTGCGCAGAAAAATCAATTATAACTAATTTTTTATCTATTCATTTTTGTTCTTCTATGGTAGCACTCAGTTTTCCACCACCAAACTCTCGAACCAGGCGATCGCAACCAGCACGCAGCCCCATCACGTCTCAGAAAAGTCAAAAACAAGTGGGAAATAAGAGAACAACAAAAGGCAAAAAATCCTGTATAGCACTGAATTAGACTTCATACCTTCTATTGTGAAGGTCGTAAAGGAGGCAAGGAGAAGGAAGTTGCATGACAACATGATTTCGTAAGAAAAGTGAGATTTCAACCAATGGTACAAGAGAGCTCTTAAGAAATCGGGATTGGGTTCTAAGAGACAGATCCCAGAGGGAAACAAATTAGCAATGAGAAAAAACTTACAATCGAAAAAATAAAAAACCAACGGGCTCATTGGTGGCTGTATTACAGTAAACGGGAAGTTTCGGGTGGCTAAAGAAATGTCTCGTGGGAGAGTATTAATTGCGGTTTTCACCGAGCTGTGTTTTGGCTGAACCATGCTGCCTCCTGTAACTTGGCTCGATTATGTTTTTCGCTGTAGACGAAAACAGCGCGAATTCTCCTCGCGTCGTACTTTGACAGAAGTTTGCGGACCAAAGATCAAAACGACTTTTACCAATTGTCTGTAATTAACGAAGATGTGAACAAAGAATGGAAACACTGTCAGTAAACAAGGCATGATTCCAAATACGAGCGAAATAGAATCTTCGATCTCAGATGAATTAAGACAATTTATTGTGCTGTATGGTCTAGGTATTCCGAGGAAATAGGGGATTTTTTTGGGTGACATTCCGAACTCTTTATCTATCAAAATAATCTCTTCACCATTAGCGTATGCTCAAACCCCAAACCCTAACCCAAAATGTGACATAACTTGAGGCCTTCATTGGACGATGAACGGTATCGAGAGTTTATGGGCTCAAAGATAAGTATTTTTGGACTTAAATGCAAAGGAGTAAATCTCACTAAAGAGTAAATTATAAGTAACAGGGAATATAAATGTATTCCATATTCCATATGGTATCTTCTTTGTTACCATGCCGATCATGGATTTTTCTCCTATTTCCAGAAGTATTGGTCATTATTAAGAACACAATACAATTCAGTGAATTCAGACGGATTTTCTTGGCGCATTTGTCGAGAGTCGAGGAGGAAAACATCTGTAAAGGGTGCCGGATATTTTCAACTCTTCGGCGACAACTTGTTCTCTCAGTAAATGAAGCAAAGAAGGGATTGCATGTTTTTATCTGAAAGAAAGCGAAATAAAACAAAAGAAAGACAAAATAACAAAGAAAGCAATTAAAAAAATAGGCTTTTTAAGACCGTATAGAATATGAAATTCATTTACGTCAAGTGCGACTCGAGTTTGGATTAAGCTTGTCACTCTCTCCATAATATTCCTCAGGCCTTAGACCTTGTTTTTATTTTTCACACCAGTATAAATCATTTTCGGTATTTACCTCAGCAAGATTGTTAACAGGTGCAATTTTTCAGGCGTTCGTGTTCCGAATAATGAATTGTAATATTATTGTAATATCTCCCACGCTGGCTTATCAGAATTGAGATATCTCTACACTGAAATTACAGTTCAAATATCCAGAGTTAGAATTATCAAAAAAAAAAAAAAAAAAAATGAAAATAAAGCGTATGCAACAAAACACTTCCCCTCAAAGCTTAAAATGAAGCACACAGACCTTTAGCCATAAGCCATTTGACTCTTAAAATTGGGATCGAACTCTCCTGAAAAGCGGGTTTCTTGATGGGAGACAACTAATCAATAATGCAAGTCTGTCGAAGATAATATTTGTCTTTCTGGAGAAGATATGACATACAATAGCCAAGTTTTATCTACAGACATTGAAAATGAAGGATGACATCGTGGCTTTACCCACGTAATAGATTTACTTTTAAAGACGAAAGTGACTGAGTAAACCCAAGGTGAAAACAACAGGCCGAGTTTAGCATCTGTCACTTCATTTAAAAATCGCAGACTGCGAGCAAACCTCCCCAATAATTATGCTAAGTGTCAAAATTAAGAATTTTGTCGTTTTGTCTTCTGCAGGGGAACCAAATTGTATTTTCGCATTAAACTCACTCGTTATAGTGCTTCGAATTTTTATCTCAAAAGTTTCAATAGGAGAACAGGGACCCCCTGCGGTAGTTTTTAGTTTTTTTTAATTATTTTTTTTCAAAGCTGCTTTTGTACGAACATTCATCTCCTTCCCCGCGCGAAAAGCAAATCATTCGGTAGGTGTGAAAAGCAGGCTGGTTAAAATGTTGCATTCCGTTGTTTTACATCATCTTTTGTTTTGAATAAATCCAAATATATCCTCAAAATTTCTATTGACCTTCTTTGCTGTCTTTTTCGCGCCGGCTGCTTGATATTGATCACCAGCCAGTAATAATTTCTTTTATAACTTATTGACCAATCAGTACTTTCGTTGTAAATGTCGCAAACGTAAACAAACATGGCGGCGTTTCCCGAGAAACAATCATAATATATTTCGCGAAACTGGTTCCTGTTTGTATCAGCAACATTGGTTTGGTGGCTATAACCTCGAGTAAAAGATGAAACAGATATTATGTAGTTATCATCATAGGTTTTTGCTTTGTATAATTCTGGCTTGAGAAGTATTTGGAACGACATTAACTGCGGCATTGGAAATATGGCAAGTTGCGAGATATGGCAGACGTCAGCCGGTTTTGCTCGAGTGCAAAATAGACATTCTGGAGGAGGAATTCGCGTGTATAAGGAATAAAGATTATGTGTTCAACAGCAGATAGATGCTGGGCATCTCCAAGAAACAATCAGCGTCTGAACCAGACATCCCCGCAAGAACAAACAACGTCCCAGAGCAGAGCACACAGAAAGAACCCACGACTGTCTCATCCTACAGAATCCGCTTTCTTAGGCAGATTTATTCTGTCTTTATTGATCTTTATCGTAAACCTCGTTCTATTCACATTATTTCTCAGTGTTGTGATTCTTGTGGTTCCAGTGTGTTTTTTCACGAGAAAACTTATTCTCTATTTCAGTATTCGGCATTATCGCGATGGCAAGCTGAGCAAAATGTCGGCTTGTGAAGCAGTTTGGCTTCAAGCAAGTTGTGTAAATACAGCTCCGATGTCCAATGTTTTCTTCCTTTTTGAAGGAAGAATTACCATCGATGAGCTTGAAAACTTTGTCAAAAATAAACTTGTGCATCAAGAAATGTTGCTAGGAAATTTACGATTACTAAAATTAAAACAGTCTCCTGTGCCGATCTTGACTGGTTATGGATGGGAAGAGGTGGACAATTTAAACGTAAACAATTGCGTTTTTGAATTCAGGGGAAATTCGTCGTTAAATCCTGAAGATCTGAAACAAATTAATGAAATGTCAAACTTCTTTGGTGGAGAAAAATTATGGAGAGCTGTCTTGTTTCCGAAATTTCATGGGAGCGAAGACACAGGGGTTTTGTTTCAAATGCACGAAAGCATTGCTGACATGTTCCCCTTTGTGAGAATTGTACTTAACTCGCTTGATTACAAGACTGTCTTTCTCAAGAGGCAATGCTTCTTCCTCGGACGTTTAGCCTCTTATTTGTTTGCTAGCTTCACTGGACCACTCGTAATTCTCAAGAGACTGCTCATGACAAGGCAAGAAGATTTTTGTGGGACTGATCACGAGAGAGGGCCGCACAATAGTGCAGACGATACTTTCCAAGTTTATTGGTCTGGACCAATAGATTTTAAATCTGTTAAGCGGATCAAAGATGTTACTCGCACTGAAGGTAATGTTATTTGATATGAGTATTGGGAAATCCCAAGATTTAATGTTTTTAAAAGTAGTCCCTGTCAAACATGTAGCTGAAACCAGAACAATTTTTTTTTCTGTAATAATGAAAATAATTATTTTCATATCAAACCGAACGTTTAAGGGGTGTGTGCTCTTTTGACAACCAGCTTAGGATATCACCAGTTTTTGGAGAAAGTATTCACTTCCAGTTCTGTGTAACACAGAAGGAGAGCTTACATAGCATGTTCACACAAGGACATAGCCAGGGGGGTCCTGGGGTGCCCGTGACCCCCCCCTTGGTCGGTCTTCTTTAGAGCAAACAACCAACAATATTCAGGTGGCGGAAACGCCATGACAATATCTTGGCCGTAAAAGCCATTGATATGGGCCTTCATGCCGCAATAATACGATTGAGCCCACTGATACGAGCGGGAGAGCAGCGGTGTAAATGGTGAGTAGTCTCTGTGACCCCCCCTTTGAAAAATCCTGGCTACGCCCCTGTCACACTAATGAAACCTAGTCCACGGACGTGCAAATGTAAGTACAAGTCAAAATGGACCAGGGGTCTGAAGGTTATTTCTGGAAGAGATAAGTGTTATGGGATGGTATGGTTCCTGGTTGCAGACAAGCTTTTACCCTGTTTATTTTCAAACTTCCTTAACACTTAAGGAGCTCTTGGTTAAGTTTGAAATGTGAGATTAAAGGTACTGAAATACATGTTTTTATTTCAAGAATTGACAATGGATATCATAATTTATGAACCTTACTTTAATTTCAGCTCAGGAACTGCATGGCACACAGTTATTAATTGAACAGTTGTTGGGCAAAATTAAGCCCTCTGAATTCAATTGTCCACAGTATAGAGAAAGGAAAAACACAGACACAATAACATTAGAGATGGTGATAGTTACTGGGTAACTGTGTTATCTACAAGTTAAAGATGGGTAAAATCAGATGTTTGACAACATTTGATGCACAAAATGTTTGACCAGTGTTAAATAGATATGTGAACTAGGAGAAATGTTCTCCATTTGCTAATTGGCTTCTATATTTTTTACAATATGTTTCTAGCAAATTAACATGACAAGAGTTCTGTTGAAGTGGTCCCAACATGTTTAAATGAAATAGTCTGACAAATGTTGATTGAATGTTGAAAGTATTGGCCCAATATATAAATATGCATGGTTTATTTTCAAAACCTGCTTGTTCATTGTTCTTTAGCTAGTAAAACACATATATATGTATTTAATTTTGCATTGTGAAGCCACCTAGTAGAGGGACCAATGTGTATTTCTTTGCCAGGAGCCCAGATTCTATGGGATTCTGAATAGTGACTTTCTTACTCTGTCCTTTGTTAAAGTCAATTTGGTTTTAATAAATGTAAATTGGCCACCATAAAGAGTTTCTAATGCTGACATTTGGGTTAGAGCTAGGTCAGTGCAAAGGGCTAATGCTTGGAATGTCAGCTTTACGGTGGCCAATTTACTTAATGATAACTCAGTGGATAAAACCAAATTATCTTGTAAATTTACCACCAACTGACATTACTAAGCCTCAGAGTTTCACAGATGCATTTGAGAAAGGGTCCAGAAAGGGAAATTGCTTGACCCTATTATAATTATTACCATATTTTCTTGTAAGGCATAAAGCATTATTTCCCCATTCTTATAGAAATCCCCTTCTCTTTTTGGTGAAAAAAAATATTAGGGCCCCCTCTCCCATTACAATTTTCAATGACCATCCTTGGGTTCCCAATGGATATTTTGGATTTGAGGTTAACAAAGTTTTATATTACTGAACCTCTCAGGATAGGACAACCACAAGGTTTTAAAAAACTGTCCCCAATAAGAGAGTTTCTCAGTAGTGGAATTTTAATTAGCATCTGTGTAATAAATTGGGAGCTGTTCATCCATTAAAGCAGAGGTTTGCATGCAAGTCAGTGTTTTTATTTGTAGCTGCTGATTGATGAAGATTTATTGTTTAATTGATTACAGCTCAGCTCACAGGTTTTTGGAAATGTTACTTGAAAATTTTATATTTATTTGTTTCAATAAATTTTTTGGGTTGTGATCAAGGATGAATAAAATTGCACATTGATTTTATTTTTAATAGATTGATTGACTGATTGATTATACTTATTTTGTTTATTTATTTTAATATCTAATATAAAATTAAAGCAAACTGTAATAATAACTTCTTGGAATTTTTGATTTCAGTTGACATAATTCTACTCTCATGTGTGGCTGGTGCTATTCGTTCGTTCCTCCAGAAATCCAAAATACTATACCCTGATGATGTTCGAGTCTGTATAAGAACTGATGTAAGACCTCAGCATTCCAGACTCAAGCTAGACAACAAATTTTCCATGGCTTTTATCAAACTACCAGTTGGCACAGAAGGTACAATCTTTATACTCTGTTGTCTAAAGTAAATAAATGAAATGTTCATGTTGGGTTTTATTTGTATTTGAACTGAGTTGAATTCATCAAAATATTAAGAGCTATGTCTCAAAACGTGGGTTAAAGTTAGGGCAAGGGTTTGGATGGAATTTTCCTCCATGGTAGCTTAATAATTATTATTTATCAATTTGACACTGACCACACTTGTAGGAATCAGTAGCTATAAAACTGACCTAAACATGTGACTCAAAGTTCCAATTTTTATGGAACATATTGCTACAGACTTGTTTGTGTTACTTTTGTCTTGTCTTGAAGATTATAAATTAGCTGAATTTTATTACTGAAAATGGTTTTTTTTATGTGAGGTGATTACGAAAAACACTATTAATGCACTTTACATCACTAGTAAAACATGGTACTATAAAAAGATACGTTTTTATACTTTGAAGGTGCTGTGCCTCGACTTTGGGAAACCAGACGCAGAATAGACAACTTTTCTTTTACTCTTGAAAGCACGATCATGTATGGCTTCATCAAGCTATGTCTTCTTCTATTTCCCCTGTCTGTCGTAAGGAGTCTCATAAACTACCTGCTAAACAAGGTTTCATGTACTGTAACACAAATTCCTGGGCCCAACATGCCAGTTTATATGAATGGCAAAATGACCAAGATGATGACGTGCTGGACTCCGAGAAAGACACAGAATGGTTTGTCAGTCTCTATCACAAATCATAGCGGACAGATTTACGTCGGTTTGGTTACTAGACACTCCCAAATTAACGACCCCTCTCTGTTACTGGCAGATTTTGAGAGAGAGGTGGCCGATTTAGGCAACCACTTGGGTAAAAGAGCATTGCCATCCCATCTGCGATGGCGCCTCAAAGTGGATCAACAACTGGTCAACGCAGTTAATGAGGAAAGAGAAAGAGGAGAAAGGGAGGCCTTAGAAAATGAATTGGTTTGAGTGTAAGTGAAATGCTATGCTTGAAGATTCTTGTAAATTTCATGACAGCGTACATTCAGTAGTTTGTAGCTCTGAAAACGACCTGCTTGTGAAGTTCTTTCAATTATGTTCATAACGACTCTCGCTCCTGAAAGTTTTTCGATCGATTGTTAAATCAGGAAAGGAAAATCTGACGTTATCGTTACCGCTTTTTATGTGCTTCATGAAAGAGACAAATATTCTCCATTCTCTTCTCTATACTTTTCCTTTATTTAGCAATGACGGAGAGAATTCGTTTAGCAATCAAAGCCGGCTTCTTAGGTTTGCGATCATTTCGTGTATTCGATCCTAATAAATGATTCAACAGTTTTACTGCCAGCAGAAATTAGATGCTGGTCGCTGTTGGCGTTTAAAGGGTTAACCTAAGATTTATCGATTTCACCAATTTTATTTAATTTGGCCTCGGTGGTTTTTTTTTTCATGGTCATGGCCGGGGAAGAAGAAAATGAACGTTTAGTCTATATTTTACCGTTGTTGATTCGTTATAACATAATATCGTTCGTGAATAAGAAGATTAATAAGACTATTAAATTTATAAATCTACATTAATATATAAATCTACATAAGTCACAGGCTTCCATTTCTTCTTTTAAAAATAAGATAAAGTATTTCTTCTTTGAAAGGCTTAAATTGGTATTTGATGGAGACAACATTCGTTCATATAAGTTAATTTGTCCTAAATGTCGTAAAGTTAATCGTATGAATATTTGTAGTTGCTAATTGTTGTTACTTTTTCTCTTTTCTTATGTAAAAAAAAAAAATGGGTACTTTGGGTTGGGATCAGTTTTCCACTTTTCTCTTTCATACTCGGGGTTGGGTTTGGGTGTTAATATTTTATAGGGGACCTAGAGTCCTATTATATTATCACCTGCCCTCGGGCGAATCATTAAATAAATAAATAAATAAATACATGTCAATTATGAAAATCTTTACAAGTATAGTCGTAACAAAGGTCACTTAAGAATCAATTAATTTATATCGTGTAATATATATATATATATATATATATGTAAAAACTTACAACAAATACTATGCATATCCAGAAAGTGATGATTAATTCTTTAAAAGCATGATTTCTATATTATGTTTAAGGATTTAACATTGGCGACGTTGTCTCAAGTTGTGAGGCCTTCGTGTAGGGGAAGAAAATGTCCAGAAGTAAGACTGAAGTTTTTTTTAGAAGTCTTTCAATGGGTTAGCTGAGGGGTAGTTCTCCCGGGGAATTCTTGTAATTAAGAAAATATAGACAGGCTCTCTCACTCTTTGCCGCCTTGTTGTAAATTAACAAAGTTGAGATCTGTGCCTCTGCCGTAGTTTAAAAGATTAGAGGTCAATTTTTTATTATTGGTACAAACGTAGGACTTAAATATCGATGTTAAGTATGTTATGGTTGAAACATCATATCTTCTGAATCATCGACAGATTTTTGCCTGCTTTGGCTTTGGTTAATTTCTAGAAGCTCACAGTATGTTTCTTTAAATCTGATTGCCTTTTGACGTGACCCTTGAGATAATATCAGGTTGTTTTGTACTTAGTAAATCAAAGAGAACCTGCAGTCTTGAAATCTGTAATGTTCAAAAAATATCTTAGAGAAGACAGTTGTTGTTATAATGAGTTCTGTCAGTGTCATCCAATGCGAAACCAGCGTACCTTTAAAAGGCACTTTTCCTTCATCCTGGAAGCAAATGTGGTTGGGCTAGAAACAGGCTTGTTTTGACTGTAAATCACGGTGCTTGATGAAAGAACTAGTAAGAGTGGGAGTTCCCACCAAGTTACCTACGGAAGAGTTAATTAGCTCGAGGAGTTCGTTGAGCACATTCCAGTGACACTTTTCCATTTTTCTAGTCCATTTGGTACCTGTCACGGTGCCCTGTGAGCTTTTGTATTTTATAAGCCTATCGGTTTATGTTGTCTTTTCTATTGAACAGATCATTTGATCAGGAGCACTATTGTCAGCCGGTTCATTACGTTCTAAGATGGTTGACATGCCAGACATATCATACCTTGTGGCAGATTTTGAAATCAAAACGTTTCCGGAGATCCTTGACCAATGTAATTTTGATTCAAGCTATTTCATGAAGTTGTTGAATTAGGTTTCGCAATTACTGATGGTTTAATTAGTTTGCATCCTTTCTTTGTAATGGTAATGCTGAAACGTTTCCCTTTCTTCTCTAATTGACAATACTACATGACAATAATTGAGGACAGCGTTTTGACCCTCAAACCTCGGACAATGGGGTCTGAGATGTTTATCAACGACTTTTACATTCAAAACTGCGTGTGTTGAGATCCTTTCCAATTTGGTGATCTTGCATGTTCGTTTGATTTTTTGGCAGTCGAACATAAAATAATGCAAATGAACACTTATCAAATTCACCTCGACTCCATGTAAAAAGGACACTAAAGCTTGTACGTGTTCATTGTGTATCAACAAATCCTGTCCTGGCTTTTAAATACCTATTATATTGTTACCATCTGACACCATCAACGATATCATAATACGATCTTAATACGACTTTTCAACACTACGCAGTTCTAAATTGAATCCCTGCTAAGTTGAAGGGAAGCAAAGTGGCCTTGGCGCCTTGTAATCAGGAAACTAATCTAGTCTACCTCCTCTAATGGTTGGACGTTTATTTGTTGTGTGAGTAAACTCAAGGGTCGCATTACAACATAGAGAAAGTCATAGCACTAAAAGGAAGCAAGGCTAAAAGGCCCCGCCAAACAGATGTCAAAACGGACGAGTCCAAGTCGACCCCAGAAGGAAATATGCTGACGTACCAGTGATTTTCTTAAGAGAGCAAATCGTTGAGTCGTTTAATCATATGTTGATAATCGTGAGTATTACTCGGAGAAAACAATCTTATTTTCTTCACAAAAATGTATAATGCGACCAACGCGACAGAAGCGCCCCAAGCTCAGATGGACTTTGTAGTGGAACCGCTGGGTCTTCGAATTTTTCGACTCACGGTGTATGTGATTATATTCTTGCTGGCAACGTTTGGAAACGCTCTCGTAATTTTTGTGGTTTATAAAACAAGAGAACTGCATACAGGTAAGTCTATTTCATGTATACAAAGCACAATTAAATGAACGTTCTTAAGAGGATTAGAGAAGAATGATAAGTTAAGTATCCCGCTGCTTAAGGTCCCCTTAAGATTTTTCTTCTGTCCCTAAAGTAGTAGGACGAAGTAGGGTGTAACAACTCTAGTGTAACTCATCCCATAAACAAACTGTTCTCTAATGGTGTTTCCACTGTTCTGCGGGAAGCCTCAAAATTAGAAACAAGTCTAAACGGCGTCGCGCCTAAACTCATGATTTATTGTAAACAGTAGGTTTTATAGATAAACAACGACAAGCGGTACTTCTGCCATTTTAAATTTCTAAGCCTGTTTGATATGATTTGAATATGAAACAAAACGGTTATTCTCACACAAAGCGAAAAATCTCTCATGTCTACATGTATTCGTGTGCAACAAAGTTTGCAGTCAATTTTGATCACGGGTGAAAAGACGTGCGAGTTTCCTGTCTGGAGGCAAACAAAAGGCAGTTCCACGTCTTGACTAAGTACACATGGGTGTTTTACTTTGACTTGCTCCATTAACTGGCGTGAACTCCCTTTTCTCTGTTGACCCACGGTTGGGGCATTATCAGTCTTCGCTCATCGTTTTGTGTTCAGTTTGCATAATTTCCAAAAGATTCCCCATAACCTTCGCTTTAAACGTAATTTCTCTTGGTGGATTTACAACGTCTACTCATGCAAGTACTAGTAAACCATTACAGGCAACGTGAACACGGTTCAGTTAGCAAAAAGGATCAACAAGCATTTCTGAACAGAAGACAAAGACAGAAAATTGCAGAAACAATAACTACTGAAGAATTTATTGAAATAAAGCCAAAGATTTTCATTAAAAAAGAATATTGTGTAAATTATCAATTGTTCATGAAAACATGGTTTTTGTTACGATCAGGATACCTGATGCTTTATCAGAGAAGAAGTATGAGCATTCGGTCTGCTTGCTTTCTAATGAACAAAGAACTTTTTATCAACTTTATAATTACAGAACGGGAGGATATTGCGCTATTTTATGTGAATTCCTAGCATTTTCGTCTTTTTTCCTTCAGTTTTACAGTGTAGAATGAAAAGGAGCCGGTTCAGTTAATTGACGCAGTCATAGGGTATTATTGGTTCGATCGCATGTCCGTCAGGAAATCATTCAGATAGACTTTCGTGACCTGTTATGTTGTTGAAGGATTTTTGAGATCACGTCGCTTATAAAAACCAGAAAAGCAGATTACGTGGGGAAAATATTATAACTGAACACCGACAAGAAAGAAAGAAAGGCAAGCGTGATTAAATTATACTCAAATGGTTAGTTGTGGAAGGTTTTTCCAACTTCCCTTATTCGTGTTTAATATCAGTGTTTTACTGAATTGTTACTTACAAAGCTCGAGGTCATGTTTTGATACTCAGTAATTGTGAAATATTGCTTTTGTTTTACAATAAGGAAAACGGACGACAACAGATTGAATCGGTCGTTTAACTTGAACTATACTCGGAATATTTAGCATGAGCTTCCTGAGACTGTGGGAGAGCAGGAAACAGCTTAGCCACAATTCTTCTAAGCTGAATGTTTTTCCTTCTTGGATGATCCAAAAAGCACATGTATTTACTTGACCACCCGCATATGCTTGACACGTCTCTTGACCACGATCTTGAAAAAAAAAAAACCTTTCAAATGGTCTGTCTCTAACTTTTCAAACCCCTTGATGGAGTGTCAGCTAACAAGTGGCTAACACTTAAAGTCCATCCCAACTACAGTTACCACAGAAAAGATATTCACATAGCGTGTGGACGAGGAAAAACTGACAAGAACTAAATACTTATCCGCATGATTATAAACTTGTTAGCAAACCTGACCTACATTAAAGGACTGTCTTTAGGTATCAATATTCAATAAGAATATTGGATAGGAGAATAGGACAGGTCTCCACTTCTTGAATAGTTTACAGATGTGCAAAGCTACCAGTAGTCATCCCATATGGAAGTATGTCACTCAAGCTATGTATTAAAATAATTATCCGTTGTCCCACGAGAACTAGTAGTTCAAGTCGGATGTAGCGATCCTTTAGACTTGATTTATCACCATAGGAAGGTTGAAATTGACAATATAACCCAACGTAACGTTCATTAACAAATTGTTAATAGTTATTTCCGTGTAATTTGCTCTAAACGTAACGTATAGAGTGAGGGTTTCGGCCTGATACCGAGTCTCGACTCGTCATCGAAGTATAGCGGTAGTCTGCGGTGTTTGTCAGATTTGTTTCATAGTGGTATTCCGGTGTTGAAAACCTCTAATGTCCCCTTCTTAACGAAATCTTTGACAGTCATCTTATTTCCATTATCTCTCTCAAACAATGCCATTAATTTGTTTCTTGTTGAGACGATCGTTTTAAACATTTTATCTTGATTAAAAAAAATTCAACATGCGATAGAACCGTATCGTAGCTTCCTTTGAAGTATCCATGCTAACGAATTTATTTTGTTTCATAGTAACGGGTTTTCTAATTGCTAATCTTGCTGTGGCTGATCTTGGAGTGGGGATGCTTTGTATTCCATTCACTGTCGTGTATTTTGAACTGGATTTTCACTGGCCATTTGGTGCCTTCATGTGTAAGCTCCTTCCTGCGCTCATGGCTTGCTTCGTTATGGGATCAGTGGGAACAATGTTGGCAATTTCATTAGGTAAGGTATATATCAAAAGCATACTTTAACTGTAACGGACGCAAACAAGAGCTATCACAAAAAAACTTGAAAAATAGATATCCAGGACCTCCAAATGTTTATTTGTATTTCAGTTTCAACTTCTGTGTATCATTAAGCCCAATAGTCATTTGATGAATGTATCAGCGGGCTCTTAAAGGAAGTGATTGTTTCTTTTATCGCTTGCTGATGAATCCCTGAGCTGAGAACGGGAGTTTAGCTCATGACTTTGACGATATCGACACTCACCGGAGGTAGGGACTGACTACAGAATCAAAGAGCTCCCTCCGTAATGTATTGTACTATACTTGGTTTATACTACGTTCTCCAATTGTAGATCGCCATCAATCCATAGTGCATCCATTTGGTATGCGCATCACACGGTATCAAGGCAAGCTGATCATGTTGTTAATATGGCTGATAGCTCTTCTCCCAGCGCTCCCAATGCTGGGAGTCATGACTACTGAACCATATCGAGCAGGCGTCGCCTGTAAAGAGGACTGGCCAAGAACAACTGGAATGCCCTACTCTAAAATATACTTATTGTGCACTTTTGCCTTGACCTACGCTATTCCTCTTCCAATTATGATACTTATCTACATAAAGATCGGTCTTAAACTTCGGAGAGCTATCAAAGAGGGGGCTGATAGACCGGGGTTTACACAGGCTCAGGCCACAAAACGGATCATCAAAATGTTGGCAGCTGTGGTTGTTTGTTATGCGTTATGTTTCCTTCCTTTCCACACCCTGTATTTCATGATGGACTTTGGAGGATATCAATCCAGGTAGGTTCTAATCAATTTGTCTGCTGAACTACTATTTCCCACGGATTAGTTTGTTCTCTGATCAGTTCAACAGCCAAAAACAGGAGAAGTAACTTCCAAGTAGGATAAGGAAGCATCGGTGGGATCTCCGGTTATTATTCGTGGAACACATGATTGGAGTTTTGAAAAAAAAAAACAAACAAACAAACAAACAACAAAAACGAAAAACAAAAGAAAAAAACAAAGCAAAAAAACATTCGGAAATTTAAAATAAAAAGATGAAGTGAACTAAATAATAATTCTAACAGATTTTTCTGAGAGGTTGACTCATGCAGCAAGTTAACTTGGACTTCACTTGTTCGCCGCTAAGGATTGCCTTTATTTTCGAGAAGTTAAATGCCTCGGTTTAATCTTTTGGCCTTATAATAAAAAGGGTAAATTTAGTAAAACGATAAGCCTAAGGTCAATGAAAGGCATTCATATAAAAATTCTCCACTATCCAATCATGACTGGTTGCTTGTGCTTACTGCTGCCTGCTGCCATCTTATTTCTGGATATACACTCACGCATGCCCACTGCTTGCTTATCATGATGACCGTACATCTCTTGCTGTCTAACTTACGTGAAGCCTTTTGCTTACGTTATTCTCTCGCAGGTTCTTTCCAATCCTCCAAAGCTTCTCAAGCGTCTTCATGTACTCAAACAGTGCTTCCAATCCTGTGCTTTATGCTTTCTTTGGTGATCAGTTCAAAATGGGAGTCAAACAAGTATTTAATTCTACTAGACTGCAGAGGTTTCGATCCAGAATGTCAACCTCTTACGGTTGGGCGTCACCTTCCACAAATAACACTTAAAGTGGTTAGTTGTAAGCTGTAAATCAAATTTAAGCAAATATCTAAAGCTTTGATCAAATTCTGCATAAAGATCAAATGTAGCCTGCTTAAGTAAAAATGCTGGGTGCATAAGTGTTCCATCCTATAAAAACACATCACCATTCCTTTCTCAATTTTAAATACATTAATAATAATAACACCATAACCATTTAATTCCTAAGTAAAAATTTCAGCGTCAGACCTGAAAAGAATCTTTGGCGTCATTTCTTTGGCGGCCCATTTAATACTGAACTGATCGCATGGAAAACGGTACACATTCCTGAGAACAAGAAGCAGTCGGGCCAAGAGTAGTCCACTATGGCTGCAGAATGGCCTTGAGTCAAATCTGAGTGCCAAATAAACATGATAACTATGTTAATCCTTGGCGCCACGAGAGGATCAAGCTAAGAGAGTGACTCTCATGTGTAGGTCCATAAGAGTGAAACTGAGTTGTTTCTCGACCAAGTGTATCTGGTTTCCCTGAAACCCCTATGTGTTGTATATTTCGATGGAGAGCAAATAGATGACATTAGTTTCATAAAACGATAGTACATAAATGTTTGCAAGGGTGATTCAAGAATAGCTTTCGATGTAATAAGTTGAGATTAAGATCAATATGGAAGATTCAGTCTCTTCAGCTTTATTTTTTCTAGGTTATTATCATTAGAGGTAAGCGCATGTGACATTTCCATTTCTTTCGATCGGCAGATACGTGTACATCATGCAGTCCTACTTCCAAGTCCTGATGTATGGAAACAGCGCAACGAACCCAGTTTTGTACGCTTTCCTTGGAGACCAATTCAAGAAAGGATTTAGAAGAGCGATTCGTGGTGGAAGCCAAAGAGGTTTTTACACACAGCGAAGCACTGTGAGCACTCGAGCTAGTTCAATCCGTTAAAAAAAAGTTTGCACCCGCGATGAGATTTCCGATGACCTGGCTATTGTCACTCTACTAAGTTCTTTGAAGAACCTGAATAAGATCGTACAAGAACAAAGATTAGGAGATATTGATCGTATGAGGTTCTTCTCCAATCGCTAAACCAAACATTTATAAACGCACCACATTAGGTGTCACATGGAATTGATCCTTGGCAAGCCTTACAACAAGTCACTCGCAAATGAAACGATAAGAAGCGATTAGATGATAGTTGAAGACTCTAGCTTTTGCAGACATTGGACGACCACGAAAGCTTCTTATGAGTTTTGTTACTTAGTTTGTGACTGGCACGCGCTAAAATTTAGAAGTTCTATTTTCGTTTTCAAAGTCCAGGATTGTATTTGTCAGCTTCATTTGAAAGCTCGCGACCTCTGGGGAAGAGAATGCTCACGTTCTATATCGGCAGAACTGAAACTTATGAGCAAATTAACTGCTGAGAAGGATAAAACAGCCAAACCCGTAGAGATGAAGAACTTCCTTAGCGCATAATCAGTTTCGTTTGAATGTTCACGATCATTTCAAACTTGCAGGAAGCAACGTAGATCTAGAATGTATATGTGTTTCTCTTGCCTTATGTAACACTTACGGTAAATGCAAGAACTGATCTAATTTCTAGAAAGTGGATGAGCGCGTCCGTTGTTGGCTGCTAAGGAAAGACACTGAGGTCAAAATTTTTGAGGTGTGTTGGCTTTTGAAGTAGATGCATGCTTTGCACCACAAATCTACATCAAATCCGTGCATAAGCAAATCTCTTTATCTTCGGCCCATCTGGCTGGGAATCAGAAACTCTGGGGAGTGAATCCCTGTGGGATCATGCAATAGTCCTTTTTGCAGTTGTGGGCTTGGTGGCCAAGCCTTTGAACAGGAGTGAGGCTTAGGGTGACCTTGTTATGATAGAGATATTGCTGCTTTTCAAATGCAAATTACTTTGTTATCATGCTAACTAGATACAGGTCTCTTGTGAAGGTGTAGTCTGATCGTCCGGGTGAGTGTAGTCCTGAGAAGGACTGTTGTCGGTGGCAGTGACTGACGTTTCGACAACCTGTGCGGAAGTCATCATCAGAGTCAAGTGAGTGATTGTTGTCAGTAGAATGTTCTTATTCCAGTTCGTGTGAAATGATCGGTTGGTTTTGCCGTGATGTTATTGGCTGTAAGACTCAAGTGACGTAAGTCGTTCGTGATTGGTCTGTTTCGGTCTGTCGGTAAAGCTAGGTTGTTCTTTTTCGGTCGTTTGTGATGTTTATGTCGTGAATGAGTCGTTTGTATGGGGCGGGTAGTTGTTGACATCTGTTTAGGGGAGTCTGTTCTAAGTTAGTAAACCAGCTTTCCAGAGTCAGTCGTTGAAAATAGTCAGTGCTGTAGGTTAGGCATTGCGCAGAGTCCCAGTCAATGTTGTGGTTGGTAAGTCGATGGTGTTCAGCAATGTGATTGCTGACATCACCTTTCCTCGTCGCCCGTCTGTGTTCAGTCAGTCTTGTTGTGAGGTTTCTGCCAGTCTCACCGATGTAGGAGGCTTGGCAGTCGGAACAATTGATCTTATAAATCGTTCCCTGTCTGTTCCTCGGTTCGTCTTTGTCTTTAACGTTGGTTAGTAACTGACGTAGTGTGGTGATGGGTTTGTGGGCGACGCGGATATTGAAGGGTAGTAAGATGCGCGAGATGTTTTCAGACATGCCTTTTATGTACGGTATGGTTGCTGTAGTCGTAGGGGTTGCGGTGTCGTTTGTTTCGGTAGTGGTAGTGGGTCGGTGAGTGTTTCGTCGGATGAAGTCGTTGTTGTAGTTGTTCTTCGTAAAAACACGGTGAAGGTATTTGTTCTCGTCGGATAAGCTGTCTGTCGAGTC